TGACTTTGAGCATGTTTTCATGTGCCTTCCTTCGGTCTTCTTTTGAAAATATTCTATTTAGGTCCATTGCCCATTTTAATTGGGTCATTTATCTTCCTTTTATTAAGTTGTATAAGCTGTGTGTAGATGTTGGAGATTAAACCTTTATCAGTGATAACATTTGCAAATAAGTTCTTTTGCTGTAAAAAAAAAGCTTTTTATTTTGAGGTAGTCCCATTTGTTTATTTTTTCTTTGCTTCAAATTGCTCTAGGAGCAGTATCAGTGAAGAAGTACTTTGGAATATGTCTGAGATTTTGCTGCCTGTGGATGCCTCTAGTATTTTTATGGTTTTCCATCTTATGTTTAAGTCCTGTACCCATTTTGAGTTTATTTTTGTGTATGGTGTAAGTTGGTGATCCAGTTTCATTCTTTTGCATGTATCTGTCCAATTTTCCCAACACCATTTATTGAAGAGACTGTCTTGACTCCATTGTATATTCGTGCCTCCTTTGTCAAATATTAATTGAGCATATGATTTGGGTTGATATCTGGATTCTCTATTCTATTCCATTGATCTATATGTCTATTCTTGTGCCAGTACCAGGCTGTTTTGAGAACAGTGGCTTTGTAATACAGCTTGAAATCTGGTATTGAGGTCCCTCCTACTTTACTCTTTTTTCTCAGTATTGCTGTGGCTATTCCGGGTCTTTTATTTTTCCAAATGAATTTTTGGAGAGTTCTTTCTAGGTCAGTGAAATATGCCATTGGTATTTTAATAGGGAGTGCATTGAACCTATAGATTGCTTTGAGAATTATAGACATTTTGATGATGTTGATTCTACCAATCCATAATCATGGTATGTTCTTTTAACTGTTTACATCTTCCTCTATCTCTTTGTTCAGTGACATGTAGTTTTCTGGGTATAGGTCTTTTACCTCCTTAGTTAAGTTTATTCCTAGGTATCTTAATTTTTTAGGTGTGATGGTAAATGGGATTGCTTTTTTAGTCTCTGTTTCTATAAGTTCACTATCGGTGTGTAGAAAAGCCATGGATTTCTTGGCATTAATTTTGTATCCTGCTACATTGCCAAATTCATTTATTAAGTCAATTAGTTTTTTGATGGAGTCTTTTGGGTTTTTTATGTACAATATCATGCCATCTGCAAATAAGGATAACTTTACTTCTTCTTTTCTAATTTGGATGCCTTTTATTTCCTCTTCTTGTCTAATTGCAATGGCTAGTACTTCCAGTATATGTCAAACAGGATTGGTGCGAGTGGGCATCCCTGTCTTGTTCCTGTTCTTAGAGGGAATGGTTTTAGTTTTTGCCCATTGAGTGTGATGTTGGCTGTGAGTTTATCATAAATAGCTTTTATTATGTTGAGGTATGATCCTTGTACTCCTACCTTGTTGAAAGCTTTTATCAAGAAAGGGTGTTGGATTTTATCAAATGCTTTTTCTGAATCAATTGATATGACTATAGGATTTTGATCTTTTAATTTGTTTATGTTGTGTATCACATTTATTGATTTGTGGACATTGTACCATCCTTGCATTCCTGAAATAAATCTTAGTTGGTCATGGTGCATGATCTTTCTGATGTTCTGCTGGAGCTGATTAGTTAGAATTTTGTTGAGGATTTTGGCATCTATGTTTATGAGGGATCAAATACATATTTATCAACAAATGAATCTAAAAATCAGTTGAATAAAAATCTTATAAATAGAATAAACTGGTGAATATAATCAAATCAGGGGCATAGAAAGGGAATGGACTGATTATTCTTGTGGGGGAAGAGGGTGTGGGAGGTGTGGGAAGCGACTGGACAAAAATCTTACACCTATAGATAAGAATAGGGGGGGAGATTAGGGCAGAAGGTAGGGTGGGAAATGCATGGAGAGGAGCTATGGGGGGAGGGAAAGAGGAACAACTGTAATAATCTGAACAATAAAGAATTTTTTTAAAAAAAGACAATGGACCTGAATAGATACTTTTGAAAAGAAGATATAAGGAATGCCAAGGACATATAAAACTTGCTCGAAGTCAATAATCATCTGAGAGAAGCAAATCAAAACGACAATGAGGTACCATCTCACATCTGTCAGATGGCTATCATCAACAAATCAACAAACAAAAAGTGCTAGTCAGAATGTGGAGTAAAAGGCATCCTTGTGCACTGCTGATGGGAATGCAGACTGGTGCAGCCACTGTGCTGAACAGAATGGAGTTTCCTAAAAAAACTGAAAATGGAACTCCTATTTGACCCAGTTATCCCATTTCTAGGAGTATATCCCAAGAAACTAGAAACACTAATCAGAAAGGATATATGCACCCCATGTTTACAACAGCACAATTTACAATAGCTAAGATTGAAATCTGTCTAAGTGCCCATCGGAAGATGAGTGGATTAGAAAACTATGGTACATCTATACAATGGAATACTATGATTTTGTAAAAAGAAAGGAATTCCTACCATTTATAACAGCATGGATGGAGCTGGAGAGCATTATACTCAGTAAAATAAGTCAATCAGAGAAAGATAAATATCACATTATCTCACTCATTTTGGATAATAATGATCAACATAAACCGATAAACAAAAACAGATTCAGAGACAGAGAAGCATTAATCAAATGCTCAAACCTCAGAGGAAAGAAAGACAGGGGAGGGTCGGGGTAAAGCGGAGAGATCAACCAAAGGACTTGTATGCATGCATATAAGCATAACCAATGGACACAGAAAACAGGAGGTGAGGGTGAGGGTAGGATTGGGGGTGGGGGCAATTGGGGGATAATAACACATTTATAATACCTTAATCAATAAAGGGAAAAAAGATATAAGTAGGGGAATATAACATGTTCATGGATTGGTAGAATTAACATCATTAAAATGTGCATACTCCACAGAGGAATCTATAGATTCAATCCCTATTAAAATACCAATAGCATATTTCACAGATCTAGAACAAATACTCCAAAATTTTATATGGAACCAAAAAAAGACCCAGAATAATCACAGCAATCCTGAGAAAGAAGAACAAAGTCAGAAGGATAACAATACTAGATTTCAAGTTATACTACAAAGCTACTGTAATCAAAACAGTCAGTTACTGGAACAAGAACAGAGCAGAGCCTCCAGAAATCTACCCAATTCATTACTCTCAATTAATATTTGACAAAGGAGGCAAGAGCATACAATGGATTCAAGACTTTAATAAATGATGTGGGAAATATTGGACAGGTGTATGCAATAAAAAAAAAGTAAATAAGAAAGAAAGAAACTAGACTAACTTACACCATATACAAAAATAAACTCAAAATGAATAAGACTTAAATGTAAGTGGTGAAAAATAAAAAACCTACAAGAAACTATAGGAAGCAAAATCTCAAACATCTCTCAGAGAAATATGTTTATGAATACATCTCCTAGAGCAAAGGAAACTAAAAAAAAAATAAATAAATAAACAATTGGGACTATATCAAAATAAAAAGCTTCTTCCCAGCAAAAAAAAACAAACAAACAAAAAACCAACAGCAAAATGAAAAGGGAACACATTGTAAGGAAGAACATATTTTCCAATGACACATCTGATAAGCTGTTAATATCAAAACATATAAGGAACTCATACAACTTAACAAGAGAAAGACAAACAGCCCAATTTAAAAATGGACAAAGGACTTAGTTCTCCAAAGGTGGTAATTAGATGGCCAGGATACATATAAAAAATGCTCAAGGTCACTGATCATCAAAGATATGCTAATTAAAACAACTATGAAGTATTTCCTCACACCTGTCAGAATGGCTACCATCAACAAATCAGAAATGACAAGTACTAGTGAGGACATAGAGAAAAGGGAACCCTAATACACTGTTGGTTGGAATAAAGACTGGAGCAGCCATTATGGAAAACAATATACTGTTTCCTCAAAAAATTAAAATGGAACTACCATTTGACCCAGTGATCCCACTTCTAGGAAGATATCCTCAAAAAGCCGAAACTCCAATCAGAAAGAATATATGCATCCATATGTTCATAGCAGCGTAATTTACAATAGCTAAGATCAGAAAACAGCCCAGGTGCCCCTCAGTAGATGAGTGGCTAAAAAAACTGTGGTACACAATTTTTTTACACAATGGAATACTATGCATCAGTAAGAAAGAAGGATCTCTTACCCTTTGACACAACATGGAGGAACCTGGAGAGTATGATGCTAAGTGAAATAAGCCAGTCAGAGAAAGACAAGTATCACATGATCTCACTCATATAATGAATAAAATAAACTGATAAACAAATAGATCCAGAGACACAGAAGCACAGAACAGACTGTGGAATTTCAGAGGGAAGGCAGCGGTGAGTGGGTGGGTGGGTGGGAAGAGAACTTGTATGTATAATGTATAACCTATGGACACAAACAATAGTGTGAAGACCTGGTGTGGGAAGTGAAGGGGGCTAGAAGGCATCAATGGGGGAGGGGAAGGGGAACATATGTAATACTTTCAACAATAAAGATTTAATTTAAAAAATACAAAGATCATGAATGGAAAGAGATAGAAACTCAGATGAGAAAAACTTCATCAATTAGGTGAATCTTGCATGCCCCCTACTGGGGATCAAGTCTGAAACCCAGGCATGTGCCCTGACTGAGAATCGAACCAGTGACCTCTTGGTTCATGGGCCAATGCTCAACCACTGAGCCACACAGCTGGGCTTCTTTTTTTTTTTTTTTTTCCTAACCTACCAACTTTTTACATCTCTGAATGCTTACAAACAATAGTAAAAGTATTTAGTATTCATCATGGCCTGGTTACTATTTTATTTTCAAACTTTTTTAGTGCTTTAGAAGATTTAGGATAAGTCATTTTTAGCTTTTTGACATTTTAACTTTCAAGAGTTGGGGGAAAACACCTACAACATTTCTCAAAAGTTCCAACATTGTTACTTAAATTCCTGACCATTTGTTTGACCATTTCCCTTAAAAATGAGCCCCTTTGTTACACAGTGATTTAGTGTTAGGCTTACCTCTGTCTCATTTATTTTCTGCATATTAAAATGGCTCAGCCTAAATAGTACATAGTATTTCCACAGTGTAAAATTGACAACTGGATTTCCTTGAGGATCAATTGTCAACTGGTCAACACGATGGAGTTGTGCTAATGCGTTAAACTGTTGTAGCATTGCAAGATTTGTTTCCTTGAATTTAAGGTGCTGCAATAATAAAACACACACACACAAAAAGCTGACCATTAAATTTAACCATCTTTAAGTTACACTTAAATTTCACTAATTATTCTCTAAGTAAATCTGTAAACTTTAGGCTCGGCTAAAGTTTATGCTTTCAATTACATTATGTCAACTGAATCTACTAAACCTTACCTACCTTTAATCCACGTAATATATCATTAATAAACTCCACTAATTCATCCAATATTGGATCCAAAATGATTTCCCTTCTGTAAAGGACATCCCCCATTTATTAACAAACTAAGATCCTTAAAGATTACAGAAACACAATAACTCATTACAATCAATTGTATATACTTTTTGCTAAAATTAAAACTACAAAGATATCATTAAAATTAAAATTTTAAGAATTTTATAAATGCAGGGTTCACAATGCTTCTGAGAGAACTAGTAGTTAGGTGTTATACCTGTATCTTGCCAATTACTGTGCAGACTACAGGAACATTAAAGTCTCACAAAAACTGAAAGGCTATTGTAAGTGTTCTGTCTGTGAAATTGGATGTTCTTTTCTAAACATACTATCTTTACTTCTATCTATCTTATTTAGGGAGTTTGATATGGAGAAAAACAACTTATAAAAGGCCTAACAGAGAATAACATAATGATAATAAGAAAGAATGTATATAAATAACAGTTTCTGCCAAAGCATACCAATAAATAATACAATAATACATAACTGGAAAAGGCTAACTCTCAAAGTAATCATTTTATATGTTGCTAGGGGACTACTATGAACATTATGTTAAAATGTACATGTCCCACTAGCACCAGGTACAATAAATGAATATATAATATATGGTCAGGTGAGGTCTTGTTGAAAGCTTCTTTACAAAGTAGAAATAAACAAGTTAAATAAAATTATAATAGTTCTTTAAACTCCATAAAAATCATTTTCTAGACAGACAATTTCCAATATTAACTGAAAGCTGCAAGAGCATTTGTAAATAACAATTTAAATCCCAGGTCCATAAAATTAACACAAAAGCTTAGACTCCCTGCCAGATAGAAACTCCATAAATAAGAGTTTAAAACAGGTGTGTAGCCTAAACATACAAGTCATGACTGAGAATGATTTAAATAAACTACTAAAAGTAAATACTTACCAGAGAATTAGGAAACTTCATCTTCAATTTGGGCAGCACTTGGACGATTTCATCAAATTCTATGAAAGTGAAGGACACTGTTGTCACCATTCCTGCTGTTTGAATGCTCCAATTCCGATCTAGAGATTCCAGTGCTCCTGAGCCATACAGGGAAAGTGTGTCCCCATCCACATCAACAAGGTGCGTGTCTGTGACAGATAAGGCTTGTAAAGCATTGGTGAGTACTGAGTCCAGAGACCTGGAAAAGCCAACATACAATTTTAAATGATAGTCTTATCATGCAAATTAAATAACAGACCATGAATACCAGTTGGAAAAAAGTATTTAAAATTCTATATCTACTTTTTCATTTAAATAATTATACTCAGAGTACCAAAGATTAATTTTCAATAGAATATTTGGAAGTTTTATATCTTCTAGTCATATTATTTTAATTTTATTGTTGACACTATTGCAGATATTCCATTTTCTCCCAACCCCTTTGCCTGTCTCCACCCAGTCCCCACGCTCTTTTTCCTCTGGCCATTACCACACTGTTGTCAGTGTCTATGGGTTAAGCATATATGTTCTTTGACTAATTCCTTCAATCCAGTTCTATACTCTTCTCTTCTAGTCATATACAGGGTGTGTCAAAAATTTATATATACTTTTAACAGCTGATAGATAAATTTTGAAAATGAAATTTATTTGAACAAACACCGCCTTTATAATTATTCAAAGTGTGTCCATACATTTTTGGGACTCCTTATATTTTAATTCAAAAAGAGGCACATGTGCATAAAAATTAACAGCTTTAAACCCAAATTTTTTATGTCAATGAAAAATAATTGATACTCTATTTAGTTAGAAAGCAATCCATTTAATGTATCATAGATGTTTTCATGGCAATACAAACAGATTTTTGTAATCTATAAGGCATTCCAGTGTCCAGCTGGGAAACACACACACACACACACACACACACACACACACACACACACACATTTTACAAAACATTTTTTCTATATTAAGAACCATAGAATATCCTATCCTATAAAATAAATGGCTAATATGTAAATAGGCTGAATGGCAGAACAACGGGAACCAAACAACTGAACAACTAGTCACTATGAAGTGTGCTGACAACCAGGGGTTGTGTGCAGAACATGGTGGGCATCAGCTGCGGCAGAGTGATGGAGCAGGTGAGCAGTGGTGCACTCTCAGCCAGCACTGACACTTGCACTAGCTGCCTACAGCAGCCTCATGGCCCACAGTTCCTTTCAAGGTGCACACATTTGTGCACTAGGCCCTTAGTAAAAATCCTATCTAATAAAGAGGGAATATGCTAATTGTTCCTCAAGTTGTTGCAAAGATGGTGGTGCCCACAGCCAATAAGAAGGGAATATGCTAATTGACTGTCACGTCCTCAAAGATGGCGCCGTGCACAGCTACAAGATGGTGGTGCCCAGTCCCCTCAACCATTCCACATGCCTGCTTTTAGAGTCCCCCTGTCCCCTCAGCCTCCCAGCCCCCCAAGGCACAGGTAAGCCTTGGATGGCAGCTGCCCAGCCTCCTAGGGCCAGCCTGAGGCACAGGCAAACCTTGGCTGTTGGCTGCTCAGCTGCCCAGGACTGGCCTGAGGTGCAAGCAAGGCACAAATTGTGACTGCCTAACCGCCCAGGGCTGCCTGGGGCTCAGGTAACCAGGGCTGGCCGAGGCTTGCACTGCTGGCAGTGGCAGCAGCAAAGGTGTGATGGGGGCATCGCCTTTTCCTGATCGCCAGGTTGTCTCCCGCCTATGAGGGTTCCCAGACTGTGAGAGGGAGCAGGCAGGGCTTAGGGACACTCCCTCCAGTGCATGAATTTTCTTGCAACAGGCCTCTAATAAATTTATAAAACACTTGATAAGACATAAAATAACTCTTAACAATAGTTAATCTCTCAGAAGTTGGGTTAAAGGGTAACTTGGACTTTCTATTTTTGAATACTTTAGTGTTGTTTAAAATTTTGCATGTGTATACTACATTTATAAGCATTAAAATTAATTAAGATTTCTTCCCCATTTTAAAATAAATGATGAAAAATAATCCATTACTTATTAATGTGTACATGTACAAAATCACCTCACATACACTACTCAATATAAAAGTTGTTACTATTTTCAAAGTAGGAGCCACATTTTATGTAAAGGTTACTTAAATGATAGCCAGAGAAGAAAAGAAATAGCTTGATTCAACTCAAATGTTCTGGGGTTTTTTTTTTTCCCCCAATTTGAAAAATGTTTGGCTTTTGTCCTATGTGTTTTCATTCTGACACTTTTACTTTCAGATTTCCCTTATTAATATTAGTGCTTTGTTCCCATTTGTGCTTCTATGGACTTTTGTACTTTCCTCCAATACATCACTTCTCATATTGCACCACAATTACATGTCTAAAATTTTGCCACCTCTATCACATAGTGAGTTCCTCAAGGCTAAATACTACATTTTTTCATATTTGGATGCCTGGAGCCTAGTAATGAGCTTTTCACAATGTATATTGCATTATTAAAGATCTTAAAAATGTGTATAATGGTGCTGTTGTAAGATAAAACTGACAAACCATCATCCTGTTGGTTTATCAAGTTTTACTAGACTTAAGTGAATGTATATCAGAGCCACAAGGGATTTTCAACCTTTTTCATCTTCTGGCACATATAAATTTATAACTAAAATTCTGAGGCACACTAAAAATATATATTTTTTCCAAACTGGCAAATAAGTAGGTATAATTTTGATTCATTCACACTGAATGGCTATTGTATTGGCTGTTGTCATATTTTTTATTTGACAATTTAAGGGAAAAGAGGTCAGTGCCCTGAATAAGTAGGCATGTATTGCATATTTTAAAAATTCTTGTGGCACACTGGTTGAAAATCAATAACTGCCAGCTTAATCAAGCTTCCACAGACATCCTTAGCATTACAGCTACCTCCACTGCACTCGCCAGCCATGAGTCCAGCTTTTGGGTGAGTGGTGTTCCCCTATGCGCACACACTGACCACCAGGGGACATCTCCTGTGTTGAGTGTCTGTCCCCTGGTTGTCAGTGCATGTCATAGTGACCAGTCGTTCTGCCCTTCGGTTGATTTGCATATTTGGGTTTTATTACATAGGATAATCAAACATTCAATGAGCATTAATATATGAATAATCCTATATGAGAATCCTATAAAAGTAAAGTCTGATAATAGAACAAAAAAAAAGATGAGAATTAAGAGTTGTGCTTTGTATGATAGACTTGTATTGAGTTATGTAGAGCATATAATCATTTCTGTAATAAGAAAAAGGGTAGAAGTTACATTTCCCTGCCATGAAAATCATGAATGCTTGATGAAAAGGATGCCCCTGTTATGGCACTTCCCACCTTGCACAGCAATTACCTTGTTTACTTATCTGTCTTATCACAAAATACGATGATCCTGAGGGTCAAACTTGGTCATATTCACTGTAGTAGAACCAGCATCTAACACAACTCTTAGCACATGTGCTCAATCATATGTCTCAAGGAAATTAATGAAGTGAGACAATTAGGATTTTTTTTTTTTTTGGTATCTATTACATTTTAGTGTTGAGCAAAGAGGCAGAATCAATTATATAGACACAGGATTATTGAGAATTATTCTTAGCTGAGGCAATGACAAATAATGAAAAAGCAATGCTAAGGAAGCAAAAAAAAAAAAAAAAAAAAAGGTAGGTAGTTGATAGAATGATGCTTGATGGCCATGATTCTCAACAAAAGAAGCGTATTTTAATGTAAAAATGAAGGGAAATCAGAGCTGTGTACCAAAAAAATGAGTAAAACCTTTGAGAAGTGGTGTTATTTTATATCATACTAGTGACCCAGCATGTGAAACAAGTCCTGAAATCCCTCCCCACATGCAGCTCACTCCTGCCCAGAAAGAGTCCCGCTGCCACCACCACCTCCGCTGCTGCTGCTGCCTTGGGAGGTGGGACCCAGAAACCCACTCACGCCTCTGGTCAAATCCCTCAGAGTCAAGTCCCTGACCATCCACATGTACCTAGCAGCACATGCAGCCCCACCCACTCGTGCGCTCCTGCTGCACATGCAGCCTCCTGCTGATCAGTTGTTACAGCAAGAGGGTGTCACGACATATTAGCTCTTTCATATATAGGATATTTCAAAGTATCTTGCTTTTCTTTGTCCATATAATTAAAAGTTTAAGACCAATCTAAGATGGCAACTGTGTAACTGGAAACTACTCCTACTCCTAATCCCTCATCTACAGAAGAAGAGAAACAGAATTTAACCAGGAGGTTGCTAACCCACAAAACTATACTAAACATCCTTTATAGAACAGATGGGCACTCTGGTTTTTTGAAAAATGACAAAACAAGCCAACCATTGGCTGATCTTTAAGTTTGATTTCTAAGTTAAAGACTTTTGGGTTTTTCTACAACCATATCAAGTTGTCTAGTAATTCAATGTCTGGCTGTGACTACTTACTTTTTCCGAGAAGTATTGAGCCTATGTGGGAAGATGATGGAGGCAAATGAGGACAATGGCTAACTAAGTACATTGAAAAAACAGCAGACAAAATGTCCTCAAATGCTTTTGGTTAGAGACACTGCCATGATTTATTGGAGAATCCTTTTTAAACAATATACATTTTTATTGATTTCAGAGAGGAAGGGAGAGTGAGAAAGATAGAAACATCAATGATGAGAGACTATCATTGATTGGCTGCCTCCTGAACATCTCCTTCTGGGAATCGAGCCTGAAACCCTGCACATGTCCTGGACAGGAATCAAACCCAGGATCCCCTCAGTCAATAGGCTGATGCTCTATCCACTAGCCAAACAAATTAGGGCTGGAGAATCTTTTGATGACTACAGTAAAGTTGTTGTTAATGTTAGAGATAAAGGTGATAAGATAGCAAAATGGATCACCAAGTGTGAATATGGAGAAGCTATTACATATATAGGGAGGGTACACCAGGAAAGGTTAGGACTTCCTCCAAAGATAATGACTGGATATTAGTCCCTTGCAGACACAGCTACTACTAAGAGCAGCTCCACCACTAAAAGGGGGTTTGTTGTTTAAAAAAAAAACAAAAACAAAACACCTTCTGAGAATTCTCAAAGGAAACTGGATCAAGCAATTGAGATTCTGGAGCTGAACCACAGACTTTTCAAAAGCAGAGTATACTGCATTTAAATTTGATTTTCATCTAAGTGTTGCTAAGATAAAAGAGAAGTCAC